TCCAAAGCTTGGTGTGTGTTACAGACATCTGCCATGGCCCACTTGAAAAAAAAAATTAATTAAATAAATAAATAAATCCCAAACCCAGAGCCGAGCCCGTGGGTTTCTCATTCCCATCATTTTCATGCCAAGAAGGAGCGGGAGGTTCCCCGGCGCGGCGCTAACGCGATTAGCCGGGCAGATCCACCATCCCCATAAGTCACCCCCAAAACGCGTGGTCAACTCTGCAAAGTTCAGCAGCCCAACAGGTGAGGCCATGAAACCCGATCGCGGCGGACAATGTCGTCCCCCCCTCCCCAGCGTCGTGCTGGGAAGGACTCGTCACGTGCGTCGTATCGGGCAACGGGCTTGAAAGGGAGCAGCAGCGCCTGAAACCCCAGCAACACGAATAATCTTCGCCATCTGTTTGAACAACTCAACCCTCCTCAGATCTAGAGGAATGAGCCCATGCGAACACAAGGGCCTGGCTGGCTGATTATAGCACCCCAGCCCTACGTTTTTTTGGGGTTGTTTTCTACCAAACGGGGCTTGGCCAACGGCACGGGGAGCTGCTCCAATGGCCAAGGGGGCACTGAACCCTGTGCAAGCGTCCAGGGGACCACTAAAAGTCCCCACTGGCTTAAGCACAACACAATGCAAGCTCAACAGTTGATTTTTACCTATTTTTTTTTTTAAAAAAAAGCAAGAAAACAAACACTCAACAGGAAAGAAGCCACCCCCAGAGAACACAACTCCCCTTTAGGACACGCTCGTTCCAACCCAACGTGGCCCGTGGGAAGGCACTGGAGGAACCTTTCCTCGCTCAGACACGGTCGTTTGCGCCCAAAGTCCAGTTGGGAAAAATCAAAACTGTTCCCAAACTTCCCAGGGCCAATGAACCTTGGGACACCTGGTGGAAAGGACAGGTTGAGTTGTGCAAGCACCAGTTGTGTCCCACACCTTCCCGCTGCCGCGTCCCAGCCCCGCTCCAGAGACGGGGAAGGGGCAGGTTTTGAGCCCTTGCTACCCCTTAAAGTCAAAATTTGGAAAAAAGGGCCAAACACAGAGACAAAATCCCACCTTGCTCAGGATCTGCCCTGGGTTCAGCAGGGTTTTTCCCCTGGAACGTTGAACCATCATCGCTTTATCCCTCCCCTCCTCAGCCCCTTGCAAGCACCAGCACCGCACGGCTCACACCCACACGCTCTCCTTGGGGCAAAAAAAGAGGCTTTTGGGGAAAAATTAATACATAAAAAAAAAAAAAAAGGAAGTTTCTCCCCATTCAGGAATTGCTGGGAAGCAGCACTTCGCACGTTAAGGTCCCCAGTGCTTCTTTAGGTGATTGGGGAGTCTAAAAAATGCATGTTTGAAGGTGTTTATTCCACACCACGGGGCCTGATCCTGCTGGACCAAGAGCGGGGAGATGAAGCGCCAGCGTTTTAAGAATTTTCCCCCGCAAAAAAGTAAAAAAATAATAAATGGGGTAAAAAAAAACAAAAAAGAAGAAAAAGAAAATGAGGTCTGCCCTCCGCGAGGAGCTCGGGCTAACGCTGCCACCGAGATCCCAGCCGGGGTAGCCACGGCACGGGGTCTCCGAGCAGAGGGCTACAGACTCGAAATATAAATCAGTGATGTCAAGTGGGGCCAGGAACGCTCAGCCCACGGCAGGAGGGAGAGGGTACTACAGCCCACTGGGCCTAAAACAATAAAAAAAATTAGAAAAAAGAAAAAAGAAACACTAAAAACCACATAACACTAATGACACGATCTGTTTTTCTTAATTTACGTTAATTACAGGACGAAAGGCTTTTCAAGTCCCTAGTATATTTAAAAAGGCATCATCGTTGCACGAAATAAGAAAGGAAATAATAATAATAAATAAAATAAGTATCAAAAACTGATTTTCTAGGCTTGCAAAAAACACTTTCCCCCCCCAAAACCCATATAGCAAACCCATAAAAAAAAATACCAGCTTTCCAAGGCTGTCGGTCGGGGCAGTCAGACACCGGCGCGCGCGGGCTGCGGAGCTCAGCTCCTCACTGCTGCGAAGAGGAAACTTCTTTATTATCCCTCCCCCCAAAAATAATAATCCGGGCGCTACTTAAAATTAGTCTGCAATCAGGGCTGGATCCCGTTTCTCCTCTGTCATGGTACATATTTTCACTGGGAGCAGTTCACATGCTGGATTCATTACCGGGGGAAAAACCCCGCAATGTGCCTACAGAAGTTATTTCCATTAGATTTCTAACTATCTCGCTATCAAAAAAATCCAATTTCTTTTTTCCCCCCGCTCTGCTATTCCGGAACGGTGCTCAGCACCGCTCGATGCCGCTTTCCCTTTCACACAAAGGGAAAAAAAACCACCTCAAATTTCATTTCACTTGACGGAAAACGGAGCAAGGAAAAAAGTTTGTATTCCCGCCTCCGAAAAGTTATTTTCTATAGATGAAAACTGTAGACAGAGATCAAAAGTTAACATAAATCTGATTAATGGCTAATACCCCAAAATATCAGCCTTCATCAGGTTAAATGAGCAAATTTGTGGTGCCTTCTGCCTCTCGGAAATCTGAAAAAAAAGTTACATTGGAACAGCTCATTATACGGCAGGAACAACTTAAACAAAAACTCCTCCCAGACATGACCACATTTAGCCAAAACCAGTCAAATAAAATATACTTTCAACGAGACGTGGGTCAAAAATTGCATCTTCACCTTTCCAAAGGCGGGTGATTGGATTTAAACGGTGAGGAGCAAGAGCTGAGGGCACGAGAGACTCCCCCGGCTCCAAAATTGAGTCATTTTGTGTAAAAGCATCTGCAAACCCAGGCGAGGGGGCTCGTCCCGCTCACGGCGCCCCGGCTGGCACGGCGTATGTTTCATGGCATTTTTTTAATCTGATTTTATTGGGCCGTTAACAAGAAAACACAAATGCATCTCCCCATTGACATTAAGATAATAAATAAAAGCCTCATTAGGGCTGGGGGGGGGGGACACCAGCCTGCTCTTGAGGAGCCCCGAGACGCCAAGATCCCCCCAAGTCAGTGGGAGTTTTGAGCTGGATCGTATCTGATTCCGGACGCTGAAGTTTATAGGAACAAGCTTCTGCTTCCAATTCAAATTCAAGTTAGAAATAACGTGGAATTGCCAAACAACTTGTCTGGTGATTTGAGCAAATACATCCTCCCCCCGGCGTATTTTCCATTATTTAGTCTTCCCCCCCTCCAAAATCAATCAGGGTCCTGCTCCCACACCAGGCAAACTCGCTCCGGTCCTCGGGGCGAATCGTAGCCAAGACCTTCAGCATCTCTCACACTCGCTGCTCGGTGTCAGGTCACTGCTCAGACCTGAAGATTTGTCCCATTTCGGTTAAAACAGCTCTTTTCCAAAAATACTATACAAGAAGTAGCGGTGCGTTTGCAGGGAGGGGGCCCCTGCTGCTTAAAATTAAGCAACAGATAAGGTGAAACTTCAATAAGTTATACAGAACTTTCACGTCAGCTTCCCCAAATTTAAAAATAATGTGTTTCTCTTAAATATTGACTTTTGCCCACCTCATCTGGGACAACAGATTAATGTAATCATAAGCACTATTCTCTCCTTCTCCCCTTCCACCTCTTACTTGTAAAAGATTAATCAACCATTTTATGGTCTAATTTAGGTGCCTAATTAAAAACAGAGTTCAACACGTACAACACCATTTTGCTAATAAATCCTGACAGGTCTCCTGCTCTGTTCTATGCAAGTTCTCCTTTCAAAATGGGAGATTAATATTTTAAAACAACCAAACAGCTGAATTTATAAAGATTTCGCCTCTGTCGCTGCGGGACGACACGCTGCATCCTCCCCCCAAAACTGAAATATTTCATAAAACGAAAGTGCTTTCAGCAACGACTTCCTGCTCGCCAGATCTTATCCTGCCTTCATTTCACTAACTGCTGAGGGATGGCAACATTAAAAAAAAAAAAAAAGAAAATTAGAGAGAGACATAAACCTAATGGGACTCGCGGGGTGGGAGTTTTCAAGACTACAAAGAGGTTAAAATTCAGAACTTCACAGCTCCCATCCAGCTTCAAAGTTTCCAGCTCGGCTCTTTTAGCCTCCCTGTAACCACTGGGCAGAAAGACACATGCAAAATATTCTCGATAAAGGAACTTTTCATCCTTTGAGCTCTGGCAGAGGCTGATGAGGGGCTCGGCGTGTCCCACCAGGGCTGAGGAGCACCAAAGGGTTCCCCAACACCATCACCTCCTGCTTCTCCGAGCCCACCCGCCGGCAGGCACCATGGATGCTCAGGGCTGCAAAATCCAAAGTTCTCCATCCACCCTGGCAGGATGCAATCCCTTCATTTATCATATTTTTATTTTTTTTGCCCCCTGCCCCTCCCCGGCCAAAAACATTTCCTCCAGTCCCCAAAAAACGGGCGTTAAACCATGGCGGGGCATCACCACCCCCAGCGATCGATCAGCCCTAAAGCTGATTATAGTGGGAGGAGAAAGTTAACGGGGAAAAGAGCGTAGGAAACGCTGGAGGAAGTTTCCTCTGGACCGCGGAGCTGCCAAAACGGCTCAAAACCCCCCAAAAAACCCTGCCTTTACTGGGAAAACTGGGCAGCCTCGTCCCCAGACCCGCGGGGGGATTTCAGCCACCCCCCGGCCGAAAGGGAAAATACGGGCTCCAGGAAAAGCTCTGGAAGCACAACCGGCGGTGTTAAAAAAAAGAAATAAATTAATTAAATTGATAGTTAACCTCTTATTGAAAGATTAAATGCGGTTTGGGGCAGCATAAAGCCCAAAAACACACACACACACACACCCAGCCGGTCGGATTAACGGGGAGAGCAAGTTCCGCGCAGGGTCGGGGTGGGTTTTTTAGGTTTTTTTGGGGTTTTTTTTCCCCACTCCCCTTTTCGAGGGGGGGGGTGTATTTAGCGGAACATCCCCGTTTCGCCCCGGGGCTCGGCGGCGGGCGCTCCCCGCGCATCCTCCCCGCAGCGGGAGGGATCGGGGGGGAGCGTCCCGTACCTGTACCAGGCGAGTCCCCGCTCGTAGTTGCGGTCGAAGAAGTGGGGCTCGGCCCCGACGGCGCGGACGTCGGGGTGCACCCTCAGGAACTCCAGCAGCGCCCGCGTCCCCCCTTTCTTCACCCCGATGATGATGGCCTGAGGCAGCCGCTTGGTGCCGGAGCCGTTGAAGAAGCTGGAGATGGGGCTGGAAGGGGCTACGGGGAAAGGAAGGGGGTGTCCCCGCTGTTGCTGCTGCTGCTCCCCGGGGCTCCCCTCTTCCTTCGCCACCGGGGAGCCGCGGGCGGCGCAAGAGCCGGCGCAGGAGTAAAACATATAGAGCCAGAGGAAGAGCATGATGAAGAGCAGCAGGAGCCTCCGCCTCAGCGGCGGCAGCGCCAGGGGGACATCGAGGCAGCGGTTCCCCATGTGCCGGCGGGCGGGCCGGGAGGCATGGCTGAGCTTCGCCCGGCTCCTTTCGGCTCCACCGGGCGTCTCATGGAAGGGGGGGAGGAATTAAAAAAAGCCTAAGGAGAACCTTCCCCCCCCTCAACTCTCCCTCCTCCTTCTCCTCCCCCCCCCGCCGCTCCGCTCCCGCCGGCAGCGCAGGGAAAGGCAGCGGAGGGAGGGGGGCGGGACGGACAGCGCCCCTCAGCCTATAGGAGCCGCCTCCCGCCGCATAATGAGCCGGGCGGGGAGCCAATCAGAGGAGAGGAGGGGAGGAGGGGGCGGGGCGAGGAGAGGTGGGGGGGGCGAGCCGTCGAGGCATCAGCCCGCTCGCCCTCCCTCGCCCCCCGGTTGCCCGCGGGCCCCCCCGGG